CTTAGTTTTCCATCTGAGTAACCTAGTAAGATACTCCATAATAATTACAAACAATAGAGGAGAAATAGGGTCTCCTTGCCTGATACCTCTTTCACCTAGGAAGTACCCATATTCAGTCCCATTAACTCTAACCGTATAAGATGGTGAAGAAATACAGAAACTTATCCAGTCTATGAATTTTTGAGGAAATCTCAAGTGTCTGATGATGTGTTTCATGGCCTCCCAATTAACTAAATCATAAGCTTTCCTAATGTCGACCTTCATCAAGCATCTATGACTTAAATTCTTCCTTCCATACCCTCTAGCCAGTTCTTTATAGAGGAGCACATTATGGTGGAGTTCCCTTCCTTTTCCGAATGCCCTCCTGATTATCACTAATGATAAATGGGAGTACAAGTTTCATTCTCTTAGCTATTAGTTTAGTGATAACCTTGTAGACAACATTACAATAAATGATGGGCCCATAATCTACTGGGTGTGAAGCATCTTCTCTTTAGAGATAAATGTGATCACCCACTTTGCACCATTGTTTCTTGAAAAATCCACTAGAGAAACTATATGGTTTGGGATATACCATAAAGCCCTTTTGATGTCTTCATCTGTGAAGTTCTTTATGAGGCCAATCTGCTGTTAGATATTCAAACGTGGATCTTTATTGAAAACAAAACTTCTATAGGAATGATAGTAACATTCTGATTGGTCCCCACTAAAGTTTTGTAGTAGCTCACAAAGACCTTAGTAGCCTTATTCCCATACACCAGGTCTCCTTTATCATTTTTAATATTTATGATATAATTAATCAAAAGGTCTATAAAGTAAGAGATTACAAAATTATATTATTTTATCAATTAATTAACGAAAATAAACAAAAAAATGAATATAATTTATTTATATGTATAGTGTTTGTAAAGATTATTTTAAGACCTGAGTACATTGCACCCAAAAATCAATTTTGGAAGAGAAGTGTACATTCTTATAAGAGCGGGGATCGAAATTTTGGGTCCACCAAATACTCCTATGATTGTCAATTTGTCACATTGTACGTCCAAATGGACCAATAATTAATTCATTTTCTGCTTTCAAAAAAAAATTAAATCATTTTCTTAAAAATAAAAATATCAAAAACTTGACAGCCTCTCAACGATCTCTGCTGAGTTTCTTCAATCTTCATATCTCTCGTCGTTCTGCGAGAAGGAGGGTCTCGTCTGAGGATTAAAGCCGGTCAATAATCGGCATCCCAGGTGAAAGCAGATCCCATTAAAATTTTTTCGCGTATTATTCGTACTTGTGCTAGTCGGCTTGTAGATTCGCTATTCCTCTTATTTTGCTTTTTCGATTTTGATCTAATCTTTACAATCAGCTTCTACTTTCAGATAGTTTTTTTTTCTCTCCATTTTTTGTATTTGATCTGCGCTTATGTCCTTTTCATTTGCTTTCCTTGCTGAGTTATCTGATACCCGGAGGTTCATAATTGAAAAAGAGAGCTGAATTCTTTCAAGGCTTCCCATATATATGTTCTTGAGTGGATTTGAAATTTCTTTTTTGAAGGGTAGGGTTTCTATTGAAGCTAATAATTACCAGATGTAGCTATATGTTTGGGATCTCTGGTTGAACTTTCAAGGAGTGCTCGTTTCTAACTGTCTCTTTGAGGAATTTCAATTTCTATGTGCTTTAGGATTTAGGGTATGTTTGGTTGGAGGGCAGGGAATGTGATTTTCTTTTAGTTTGGTTAAAAAATATTTTTTGATGAGGGATACACATTAAAAAAGTGTTTTGCACCAAATGAGCCCCTTCCCTTCCCTCCAATGAAACGCACCCTTAGGGTCCTTAAAATAGTTTACTTGCAACAGATAACTGTGAATAAAAAAATTTGAACTCCTTGGATCAAGTAATATATGCTTGGAGGAGCTTCAATCTCATTTGGCTCAATTCTCTTTGCGTTTTAATCGACTGCTTCTTTATGGACAAAAATGATCCTTTGTTTGTTATGTAACTGTGAATTTGAAATAGGACCTTGTTTCCTCCCTAGAAATCAGTTTTTCCATGTCAATGGAAAAGATTTGGTTGATTATATTCTCTCTTGCAGTTGCATAGACCATGATTAAGTTGTTTAAGGTGAAGGAAAAGCAAAGAGAGCTTGCAGAAAATGCAAATGGGAAGCCACCAGTGAAGAAGCAAAGTGCAGGAGAATTGCGTGTGCATAAAGGTAGTTTGTTTACTGTTTCCCCTCATTGTCTGTCTTTGTTTTCATGTGCAATAGGATCTACGTGCAAGCCGACGTGTCATCATTATTTGTCCTGGCTGGGTCTTAATCTATTTTCATTCTTTGCACCATTCTGCAGATATAAGCGAGTTAAATCTACCAGAAACGTGTAGAATAACGTTCCCTAATGGAAAAGATGATTTAATGAGCTTCGAAGTTACCATTAATCCCGATGAAGGGTACTACTTGTAAGTATCCCTTTCTATGCAAATTAAGAAAAAAAATGGGAAGCAGAATCTACAACTGTGTTTTGGCTGTTCATTTGTTCTTATTAAAATCCATTGTTCACAGAGGTGGCACTTTCATATTTTCTTTCCAAATTTCTCCTATATATCCTCATGAAGCACCAAAGGTCAAATGCAAGACAAAGGTTTGTTCTAGTGTATTGATAGTCGTAATATCTCTTCTTAGAGTCCCTCTTAATTAAAAGATTGTGTACTTCAGGTTTACCACCCAAATATTGACTTGGAGGGAAATGTGTGTCTTAACATTCTTCGAGAAGACTGGAAACCGGTGTTGAACATTAACACTATAATCTATGGGCTGTATCATCTCTTCACGGTACGATCATATTAATTGTGATTATTTTCCTAAATCTTCTTCAAAATAGTCATTTTGACGATGTTTTAGCTTCGGGTGAACAATGGACTAAATTAAATTGGGACATTAAACTTGCCTTGCTTCTTATCCTCTATGAAGTTTTAGTGAATGCATCAATGTATCAAGGGTTCAATGAAAACAACCTCTCTGTTTCTTACAGGGGTAAGGCTGCGTACATATTGGCCCCCAGACCCTAACGGAGTTGGGAGTATATTGGGTTTGTTGTTGTTGGTGGTGCAAAATGGATTCTTTTCACTTACGATTTCAGTGAGAAAAATAACTGTTAAAATTGTGCACTGAAGGTAGAAAAATGAAAGTTGGGGAGTGCCTAAAGTGTTAGAGTATAAAACCTTTTGTTGCTTACAACCACAAGCTTGAGCTTTTGGTTGAGTTGATTTCTTGACATAGTATCAGAGCTTTGCTGACCAAGAGGTCACGAGTTTAAATCATCGCCACCCAGTTAAAAAATTAAGTTTCACATGCATGGCTCGAGCAAAAAACTAATCTCGCCTGCACGTGAGGGGACGTGTTAGAGTATAAAACACTTCCTACGCCTACAACCACAAGATTGAGCTTTTGGTTGAGGTTGTTTGTTAAAATGATATCAAAGCCTTGTTGATCAAAAGGTCACGAGTTCAAATCATCGCCACCCGGTTAAAAAACTAATTTTCACATGCAAAGCTCAAGCAAAGACAAATGTCGCCTGCACGTGAGGGGACGTGTTAGAGTATAAAACCTTTCCAGGGCCTACAACCTCAAGCTTTAGGTTTTGGTTGAGTTGGTTTCTTGACATAAAGAATGTTGTTGTGAATTGTGATGGATGGTTGAATATTTGAATGCAAACAGGAACCGAACCATGAGGATCCTCTGAATCCAGATGCAGCTGCTGTGCTGAGGGACAACCCAAAGCTGTTCGAATCAAACGTGAGAAGGGCAATGTCCGGTGGTTACGTGGGACAGACATTCTTTCCGCGGTGCATATAAAAAGATGCAGGGAGACATCTTTGCCGTGTTGCATGTTGTCATTTCTCCACACATAAGATTATATGTCACTGGTCTTTCTCCCTTCAATTGTATTGTATGCAGGAATGAGACCATGCAGATTGTATGCTTTCTTTGCTGGATTTCTTCTGGTAAATCATGATTGTCCTTGTTGAAGTAATTTGTAAGAATATGAATGTGTTACCTTTGCTTGGAGGGATTTTCTATTATTGATCGCGACCGACTTTTTTTCTTCACTCCTGCATTTTGTATTGCCTAGACAATATTGATTTGTTATGCAAGAGTATATGTATTTCTTATGAAGTTTGGAGTATTTCATATTTCATTCTCACCAAATACTTTGGTGGATCATAGGTCTATCTTCGATTTGTGGACATTATTTAATATTTGAACTTTTTGCAATGGTGATGGGTCTAACCAAGATTCCGATCCTACAAAATTAAAATTATGTGAGTAGGTCTCATCTTCATATCCGTGTTATAGCCATGTTGTCTTGCCACCGAAGAAACAAACCATCATCGTCTTCAAGTCTTCAACCACAAATGAAAATCTAAAATAGATTTTAACAGTGCTTTTAAGCAAAGCTAAGCCTATGTGACTTTCGCCGTGGATGACTTTTTTCATTTTTTAATTTACCGTTATGACTTGATTGATATACTTTTTATTAAAAATGAATGAATGTAGACTTTAAATATGTTTATGTTAGGAGTATTAAATAGAAATGGAGGGTATACAATTTTTTTTAAAATCTACCACCAACCCATACTATATACTTCTTTCATCCTCAAATCAAAGTCATAGTTGAATTTTATGAGTTTAATTAAAAAAAACTTGTTGGTGACAAAAGAATATGGATACAATTTATTTAGAAGAGAGAATTATTGTTAGTCAAGTAAAGAAAAAAATTTATAATTTATTTTGGAATTAATAAAAAAGACAAATATACACAGAGTAATTCAATTGGTGAAGGGATTATTTTAAAACAAACTTACCTAAATAGTACTAAAAAAAAGTAACTTTTTAGTATTAGATGTTTTTATTTTTCAATATAGTACCATTGATCATTCTTCATTGGTGATTTGTAAAATAATTATCAACCACTATTGGACCTTATTCAAACTACTCACGGTGTTCTCAACATAGTTTGGCCAAACGGAGAGGTATTATTTTAAGTACGGAGTACTACGGAGTATAGTGCCGTGCCGCCGTGGGGGAGAGAGAGCGTCATAGTTTTACCGGACAACGACGGTTGCCATTTTCACGCCGCTCATCGACACCACAACCGCCGGGGAAAATATTTACAGCTCCGTCTCTATGGAACCTAAATCTTCTGCGCTTGCAGCTCCCCTGAATCCGAAGACTCCGAATTTCCTGGCGAGTCCGGTTCCGAAGAAACGAGACTTCCTCCTCCGCCTCGAAGCCTACCTATCCAAGCGAGACGGCGTCGACAAGCTGCTCAAAATCTCCCGCTACGCCGCCAAGATCGTCATCGCCTCCTCCCTCCTCCCTCCCGGTGCCCCCCTAAACCACCGTCTCAAATCCTTCGAATCCAGCGTCGGCCTCAGCCGGAAAGCATTCCGCCTCGGGAAATTCGTGCAGGACCTCAACGCCCTCCGTTCCTCCTCATCCTCCTCCTCCGCCGAGCATCTCCTCCTCTCCCTTCTCGCATATGGGGGCGAGGGTTTATACTATTTCGTCGAACAGTTCGTCTGGCTGGGTAAATCGGGCCTGATCGACAAGAAACACCTGAACCGATTGCAGAGAATGAGCGCCTGGTGCGAGCTTATAGGCTACGTTGGCAGTGTGAGCTTGAAGGTGAGGGAATTACAGAGGATCGCCGGGGACGAGACTCGTTTGGTTTCGAGTATTGAGATTGCTGCGGTTAGGGGTATTGCCTGTGTAGAGGAGGAGGAGGAGAAGCTAAGGAAATTGAGAGAGAAGAAATTGATGAAGAGGCTTTCGGTCTTGCAAGATTTCGCAGATGCTTTAATGGCGGTAGCAGATATTAGAGATGGCAAAGGGTTGCTTTCTGGGCAGCTGATTGTCTCCTCCGCGGGGCTTTTTTCAGCCCTCATCAGCACTCACAAGAATTGGGTTTCCTGCTGATCCCCCAATCTACCATTTCCAGGTATGAGATTCTTCTTGTTTTTTCATTGCAGACTGTAATATTGTAATTTGCAACACTTTATGACACTCATTTTGGAAAATAATGGAACTTGATTTGCCTGTGCCATGATGTAGACTGAGTTAGAGTTCTTGTATTTTTGTTTAGTAGTCTATTTGAAATTAGTTTGGATTCTGTAAATAAATGTGATTATAGTGAAATCTATTCGATCTCTTTGGGTAAGCATTACTTAGTACAGAATAGTTACTTACACTTTGCTTACAGTTTGATTATGTAGTGTCTGAAACTGCATAAAAACATTAAATTTGCTATTGCTTTGCTCTGCTTTCAAACACATCTCGAGCCTCTATACCAAAGTTCATACATTTACTCTTGTAGCAGTGAAATCTTCCAATTGCAAGATCACTGTGCAATGGAAATCAAGCAACCACTGTGGAATCTAGAATTGCTTAGAATATGAGATTTTTGCTTTTCAACAACAACAACAACAACCCAGTTGAATCCACAAGAGTAGGGTCTAGGGAGGGAGTGTGTATGCAGACCTTACCTCTACTTGAAAGTAGTGAGGCTGTTTCCAAAGAAGATTTTTGCTTTTCATTTGTCAATAATTATTGCAGTGTATGCGTTAAGATTTCAAGCTGGAGTGTATAGATGTAAAGTTGTGGTGCATAAGCCAATAATGATGTAATTGTGTGCCTCAATCTCAATGGCTTTTTATACCTTAGAGCCCATTTGGTAAGGGTTATCTTGCTGATATGTCTTAGTTGATTATATCCAAAGGGGAAATCATTTTGGTAACATCAATTCCGGACTCTACTTTCTGGTCTCCAAAATATAGTTACCAAACACCCGAATCGGGATTTTAGTTAAAACTGAAATACTATCCAAACTCCTTTCGTTGAACTCCAATTTTCAGACTCTAGGTTCTGGCCTCTAGACTCGGAGACTTCAAACTCCAATTAACAACAACAACAACCAAGCGATATCCCACTAGGTGGGGTCGACAAAATCCAGTTAAAATCAAGACTAATTGAACATGTCCTAATTTTGATTATCTTGTTGATATGCAGAATCAGTCTACCAAATAGGGACTTTTAATATGCTGAGGAAATACCCTTTGTCTCATCAACACGTTCTAAGGCTGTTCCCTTTTCATTTCTGCCATTTTCTTATTTTCAAAGCAGGGGTGGGTGTTGCTTTAGCAGATGGGCAAGGTTGGTACTTGCTAGTAAATAAACTGCAGACATTTGCTTTATTGGGAATCATATGCATACTTATCCAATTATTCACAATTATTGATTAATTGAAAATCAAACAACTGAAAATCACATGAATTTAACTTTTAAAATGACTTCTGTTTTTCCATTCCATTCAAGAACATAAGATGTGCAATGTTGATGAAGGAAAAGAATGGCAGTATTCTGTGATAGAATGCAACTGCAAAATGAATACTACTCAGGAACTAAGAGGAAAGCTTTGAATTTGATCAACTGTTTTCTTTCTCACAGAAACAATGAAATCAGATGGCCATATATATAGGTCACCTTACAACCAACAGAAGCTAGAAAATAGGCCTAATAACATACCACTAACATATCCTGTGATAATACATAAAAATAGGATCACTAACTAACAGGCCAGTAAGCAGTACTCTTAACAGCCCTGAAGACTAGCATAATTATTCAAGAATAATTCAAACACTCTAACTTATAATTAAAAATCAGAATTAATAAATAATTAACCAAATTATTCAAGAGATGATACATTGGTCAAGATGAACAATCCAGGCCAACTGGCATGGAGTAGTGCATCCAGACATCTTATTTGTTTCGAGATTGCATCAACAGCGACTCGCATCTAAGATTTAGTATGTGGAAGGCTCTAAACATTCACATCATTCCTGCGAGCTAGGAGGATTTTCTCTTAAGGAGGTTAACAACTTTCATCTGTTCCATATTTCCGTTCTTTATGCATATGCGCTGCTATCCTAATTTGCTTTTACAGGTATTAGTGTTCTGCTCTATTTGTTTACCAGAACAGTATGATTATTGAAATGTTTCTAAATCAGAGTTAAACGTAGGTACATAGTACGAGTATATATTTAAATTGGAGTCCAATTATTTTTATAACTAAATAATACTTCCTTCTTCTCGATATAAATTGCCTCTTTCGGTATATGACGATGTTGATTGAAGTTATTTTTAATAATATTTTTCTGAAAGTTGGAATGGAATGCCTATTTTTTATCGGATGACTAACGAAAATAGAAAAAGAAAGTAATGTAGTTTGGCTCTGTGGATAGTAAACAAGCAACTTAATTTGGGACAAAGAGTACTCCGTAGTTAATGCAATGTATCAATGTCATTATTACCTTCAACGGAGTATTAGTGCAATGGAAATGGGGCTGACGCCCCCAGCATCAACCGCCTTTTGACGCCCATGGCGGTGTTAAGGGGCGTCAGTTCTCCCGCGTTAAAGCTTTGACGCAGCGCAACCCACTTCGCAACCCTCCCCAACGGCTAAAAGAGCCGTTACCCACCAAAAAAATTAAATTAAAAAAAACCCATAAATTCAATCAAAACAAACCTATCTCTCATACATCTCTCTTTATCTTCTCTCTATAATTCTATCAAATATTTTTTCAAATATTTTTATATTTATATAATATATTTTTAAAATGGGACCATCTTCATCTGATGATCAAAAGAGAGCTCTCATTTTTCGATGTTTCGCCACGAGTTGTTATCAATAATGGCAACAAGACGAAGAAGAAGCAGAATCCTCCCGACGCCGGACCTGATGATAATGTTTAAACTGGGATCGAGCAGCTGCCCACGCTTCACTTTTCAACGACTACTTCAATATTCCGTGTGTTTATACACTGGAGGATTTTAGTAATCGTTTTCGGATAAGTCGACCTTTCTTTTTACGCGTACTCGTCGATATTGAACGCGAGGTGCCCTTGTTCACCCAATGCTTTGATGCGAGAGGGCAACGCGGGTTTAGTAGTGTCCAAAAGTGCACTGCCGCGTTTGGACAGATGGCGTACGGGACAAATACTCGAAGATGTCAGCTCGGAGCATCAGGCCCTGTGTTTATAAATTTTCTTAAACTATTATTCGAATTTATCATAAAAGATATTTACGTAAACCTATAGCTTACGACATTCAGCAGTTACAGGCAAGACATGTCGCTAAACACGGTTTTGTCGGCATGTTTTGGATCATGCATGGTCAGTTCTCCCGGGGGGATCATCCCAAGCCTGCTATCATGCTCGAAGTTGTTGCTTCAAATGACTTGTGGTTTTGACATGCTTTTTTCGGTGTCGCGGGCTCGAACAGCGACATCAACGTTCACAATCTATCGCCTATTTTTGACAATTGGATTAATGAGATCGCACCTGACTTGTCTTTTGAGCTTAGAGGGACGCTTTACAAGCGTGGATATTATTTGGCCCATGTAGTTTATCCAGATTATTCCACGATTGTCAAGTCCCTCTCCGAACCAATGGGTCTTAAACATCAGACCTATAAAAAGGCTCATGAGGCGGCGAGCAAAGATATTGAACAAGCCTTCGGGATCTTGAACGCTAAGTGGAACATTTTAGATCGTCTGTCCAAATGCTTTTTCTCAAACAAAAATGAGAAATATCATGTACGCATGTATGATTCTTCATAATATAATCGTAGAGGACAACAGATTTGCGATTTGTCAGTACAACCCAGACGAGGAGGTGCTTATGTATGAAGATATCGACAGAGAAAAGAAACGAAGAAATGACCAAGAAATTCGAAGCCAAGAGATTCACAATGGCCTAACGGCGGATTTGATCGAACATATCTTCAGTCGCTCAAATAATCTGCAATTTGTTCGTAGTGTTGTTTTTTTGGATGTACTCCCACCGTTCCACAAAACCCTTCTGGTTTTGACTTTGGAGAAAAATAAGAAAAGTGAAATTTTGGTTGACTTTCCAATTTTAACGCTGATGTGATGGGAAAAAGTAAGATGTGATAGTTTGATTAAAAGTGAAAAAGTATGATGTGATAGATAGGGTATGAAAAAGTAGGGGTAAAAGTGGTTTTTTAATGGAAAGTGGAAGTGTTTTGTGGAAAGCAAAAAAATCGAAAGAGGAAGGGTTTTGTGGAACGGAGGAAGTAATATTTTTTAATGAATATAATTTTTTTTTATTTAATGAATGTATTTTTTTATGGATGTAATTTTTTGGGAAATTAAGGGAGGGATATTTTGGTGTTGACTTTCCAAAAATACCCTTGATGTGATGAGTAAAAATAAGATGTGATGGATAGATTATTAGTAAGAAGGTATGATGTGATATGCAGAGTATAAAAAAGTAAGGGGTAAAAGTAGTTTTTTAAAATATAAGGGAAGAAGTTAGTGGGACAAGAAAAAAAGAAAGGAAAAAGTTTAAGGAACGGAGGGAGTACATCATTTTTAGAGTCATTCTTTGTGAAGTAGAAAAAGATTGAATAAAATGGAGATAGTCGGAAGAAGTTGAAGAAATCGAAAAAATGGAAAAAACTACTCCCCCGTTCCATAAAACCTTTCTCCTTTTTTTTCCCGTCCCATAAAACAATTCTCATTTCTATTAAAAAGTCAAAACATCACATGTTTCAAGGGACTGAGGGAGTAGAATAAACTAGAATTAAGAGTTAACTGAAAGCCTAACTCCGGCCTTCAAATTTGCAGTCTCCCATTATTTACGGCGCTACGTGGCCATAGATTTAAAATTTAAGCTCAAGCCTTGTTTGAATTAAATCCACATTTGCAATGTTATTATGCATTACCGGTGTCACTTACGCTTGCATATATATATATATATATATATATATATCCAACCTTAGCTTAAAATAATTAAAGTACGATAAAACAAGAAGAAGCTAATAAGAAAGGTAGCCATTATTGGAGGAACATTAAATTTCACTCATCATAACCTGGCCGCAGCCAGAACAGGGACGACGGCGCGCCCCCGTTTCCATAGCTGCTACAACTTTCAACTCCTAGAAAATCCAGAGTGGTCGGGCGGCGGTTCTCGCCGAACATCATTACATGAGGAGGGGACGGGTCCCTCATCATGCAGTAATCCGGCGGCGGCAAACCGCCCGGCGGAGAAAAAACCATTGTTTCATTATTCTCGGCCTTTTCCGGACCAAGTCGTCCACGTACAAATGAGCCACCGGCGCCGGAGGAGTAAATTGAGCCTATCTGTGCCGCCTTCTGAAGCAGTGAGGTCGCGGACAACGCAGGCGGCTGTGCTGGCCCAGTGGTGGCCGCCGGCAGGTACGGGAATGACGATGGGTGGCCGGCGAGATAGTTATTAGAGTACGCTTGGGCTGAGAGCGGCGGCGGTGGCGGGGCCGTACGCTTCAGTTGGCTTGAATACAGTGATGGTGAATGTTTATGTACCCCACCAATGATGGAAGTTGTGGCGGCGGTGGCGGCTGTGAATATGTAACCATCCATGCATGTGAAAGAAACATACAGGCACAAAAAACAAGCCAACAATCAAAGTTAGAAGCTAAACATTCCATCCTTTCTCAATTTAATTTTTTAATTTCATTGTTCACTTGATAAAATAAAATAGCCTTAACACATTTTGTTTTTTGTATTTATCTCATAAAACTTTTCCACATTAAAAAAATACTCCCTTCGTCCCATAAAAATATGGACATATTGGCTAAAGTGGTAAAATGAGGGAGATACTCCCTCTGTTCTATAAAAGTGTTCCTATTTTGACTTTATGTAAAAATAAGGAAGTGTTAAATTTTAGTTAGCTTCCAATTTTGCCCTTGATGTGATTGGTAAAAGTAAGATGTGATAGATTGGGTATTAGAGAAAAAGTATGATATGATAGGTAGAGTATGAAAAAGTAAGGGTAAAAGTGGTTTTTTAAAAGAAAGGGGAAGTGTTTTGTTGGAAGTAAAAAAAATGAAAGAGGAAGAGTTTTTGAGAACGGAGTGAGTATAATTTTGTATTGGTTTTTAAAAAAAATCCAGATATGATGAGTAAAAGTAGGATGCGATATGTAGATTATTATGAAAAATGTATGATGTGATAGGTAGAGTATAAAAAAGTAAGAGGTAAAAGTGGTTTTTTAATAGAGTTGGAAAAACTTTGGAGGACACGGTTTTTTTGAAACCTAAAGACCTTTTTGGAACGAAAGGAGTATGAGACTTGAAGAATGTGTTATTTTGATGTTAATTTTAAATTTATCCCTAACTTTGTGATATAGTAGAATATGATGTGACAAGTACTAGAGAGATTAATCCTTCTTCCGTCTCAATTTAAATCGCCTGTTGTTGTTTACGAGATATGATTGAAATTATTTTCTACTCCGTTTTGTTTAAAATTGATATGAAATTAAAAATGAAATGTACATATTTAAAAATATACAAAAAAAAAGAGGTGACAAGATTATTTATTGTTTAATCAAATGAGTAGTTAAAAAAGTGAAATTTACACTGAATAGGACTAAAACATAAGTCATTTCCTAATGTAGGACTTCAACTTTTTTATTACCTAAATAAGACTTAATAATGTCTAGTGAGAAGAGTAATGTCCAAGTGATGCTGGACATTTAGTTGGGAAATAAAAACTTATGGTCCTATATAGAGAAAGTCATTATGTTTTATTCATATTTAGGTAAATTATCCAGATGAAATAGTATAGATATGATGAAATATTTAGGTTAATAATTAGCAGGGATAAAAAGAAGATTTTAATTGAAAGTGTTTGTGAAACTTACGAAAAGTGAAAGTGGAAAAAAATTTGTGACGAAGGGAGCATATCCATATAGGAAAGGAGCAAACTGTAGTCTACAAATCAATGTAAACACTCCCTTTGTTCATAAATTTTTTTCCTGTTGCGTGTTACAATAGTTGACTAAAGTTTTTTTATTTATTCAATATAACAAATAGTGTAAAATTTAAAATTTATATAAAAAATTTTACAAAATTAGAAATGACATTAATACAACATTTTATGAAATGGACAGCGTGGAAAAACATGTGAAGAATATTAATAAAGTTTAATCATGTATATAATGTATATAGTGAAAAAAAGAAATTTGTGGACCGGCCCACCAAATAAGTACTCAAACTTACTCGAAAAATTCAAAAAAAAAATAAAATCGGGAAGAGGTCAGCATGTCTGTTTTTCTGGCTGGTAGAGATCTAATTACAAATAGAAGAATAAATTTTAAAAAAAGTAAATTCTCAAAATAATCCTTTGTAATAAGGTGTTTTACCAAATAAGTCCTCAATAAGTTTTAATTACTTACGTGGTCCTCTATAATTGAGATTTTTTCTCAAGATCATCCTTCGTAAATAATGTTACTCAAATGATGATTAATAACGGTCCTCTGTAATCCAAATCATTTTAAATATTCAATTATAAATCATATCTTCACCTTTTAAATCATTTTGGTTTTGATTTTAAATAATTGAGTTCGGGTAATCATTTCAAATTTCTTTTATTAGATCTATGACAATTGACAAATGTAACATGGAAAGAAGAGACACCCTAGGGACAAAAGGTAAATAAACTTGCCAAGAGAGGGTTGAGTTTAAAATATCCCATAAATATATGGGGCAACTTGTAATTACCCCTAAATTTGATAACGGCTGCACTCGAGGTTAGTTCAACGTAAATCTAATAGGAAATTGTGATAACACGTTTCCCAATAAACCATGTCAAGAACAACACATTTTATGGCATAATGGGACAAATACAAAAACACATGAAATCATCCGGTGCATATTACTTGTGAGGCTGTGACACGAGTGTCATCTCCCCATTAATTAGCTAAATAACAAGTTTATATTATATCTATATAATATATGCCTTTCAAAAATAATGTACTCGATTCACTTTGTATTTAAATCAAAATTTTTTTCTTTCATTTTAAAATATGTACTTCGTTTTATTTAAATTGTGGTGTATATGGAGGATGTTTGGAATTGTGCTTAAGAACTGCTTATAAGTTTTTACTTGACTAAAATAATATTTTCCGTGTTTGCCAATCTGTTTTTATTCTGATTATGACTTTTGCAATCTAAAATGGGCTCCAAATGTGATTTTAAGCAAAATTAAAAATATTTATTTTCTATTTTGACTTAAAACTTCTGTTTTTCAACAATTTACCACTGCACACTCCCAAACGTCCTCGTTTCTTTCTTTTGGAAAAATCTCTATTGTATAATTTCATCCTTTCAAAACTGAAAACTCTATCAGAATTATATTGGTAAAAGAATGAACGAGATTTTACGAATAATTATATAAAAATGTGATAATAAGATTATTTTATTGTAAAAATGATTAATGTAAATAGGTAAAAGAATAATATGAATTGAACCAATTGATCGTATGAATATTGACCGAGAAACTAATTTTAGATGGGAGAGAGTTTAATAGTACTCCATCTATCCCAAACAAATTTTATAAATAAATTTCTTTTTATAGAAGAAAACCAAATTATTTGAGTGACACATTTTTTTTCCTTAAAGAAAATATAGAAAGTATAATTATACTTCGTATTAATTATATAGAAATCATCCTAAATAGGACTAAAACATAGAGAAAAGTACTAAAATAGGACTTTCATGTTTTTTTCAGGAATAGGTTTTTGCATTGTGGTAATGTGACTTTGCATTGTGGTAATGTGGCAGTGTACATGTGCAAATTATTATACTTTTTTGGTAATGTATATGACCATGTTTGGTAATGTAGGTCTTATTTCGGGAATAAAAACATGAAAGTCCTATTTTGGTATATTTTCAATGTTTTAGTTCTAGTTTGGTCTTTCTCCCTTAATTATATACTCCATACAATGTTTATTTTGAGATGCGGAATGAAAGTATATATGGGTATTCCTTCCGTCCCAAAAGTTTCGTCCAATTTAGGATACGGAGGCTTTACTAATTTTATCGATATATTCTACTCGTATTTAAATAATGGTATGACTCAAAATTTTAAAATAAAATTTATATTTTTATTAAAATTATTACATGAAATGTTCTATGCCCATAAGTAATTTTGGAGGGAGAGAGTAGTAAATTCACGCCCATAATAATATACAGTAATTGCCAGACAGAGAATTGAAACTAATTAAAGCAATGATCGAACAGATTCATGCAATGCATGCAGAGAATAAATTCGAAAAGCTTTTAAAATAAAAAAGATGGTTTAAAATTTTCTCACCGGAATAGTACTGCCAGCGGCCGGAGTTAAGCGGCCGAGAGGAAAACTCTTTGGGTGGCGGCGACACCAATGCGCTTGCCTCTTGATGATTATCACGCATTATTGCAACCTCACAGTATCCCTTGTGCCTTTCAAACCTTTCCCTCCTTATATTTTTGTTCAAACAGAAAATTTGAAACACCACAAAAACAAATTATATTAAATTCCTTTGCCATAAAATAGTCCTCCCAATCTATCCATTTTATTCTTTACGCATGTCATAAAATACTTTTATCTCGTCTTTAATGTAAAAAAAATTTTAAAACACCTTCTGCCCACAATAAAGGGTAAATGTGATAAAGTTTAGGCATTTTAGACGTGAACATAAATATTTTATTCGTTGCGCAAAAAATAAAACATGTAAAGTTTAGGCATTTTACCTCCGTTTCTCAAAACAATTCCCCTTTTGACTTTGGGGAAGAATAAGGAAGTGTTAAATTGTAGTTGACTTTCCAATTTTGCCCTTAATGTGATGGGTAAAAGTAAGATGTGATGGTTTAGTTGTTAGTGAAAAAGTATGATGTGATAGGTAGGGTATGAAAAAGTAGGGGTAAAAGTGGTTTTTTAATAGAAAAGTGAAGTGTTTTAAGAAAAACAAAAAAATGAAAGAGGGGGGTTTTAAGAAACGGAAGGAGTATTAGGCATTGTGATATCCACCTATGTTATGGCTAAATCAACTTAATATGTGGTTAAATATTAATGGAACAAATAATTGATGGATATTACTCCGATCCCTTGATGTTATCCAATTTTAAAGATAAGTTCACGATTTAACATCTCCCTGAAAATATTGTAGTCCTTGATTTTAAAAGGATTTAAGCTACGGAGAATATTTTGGTGTTGAGTTTTTAAAAGATTTGATGGATAGATTAGTAATGAATATATGTAATGTGATAGATATCTTAAGAATTAATACGAGAAAAAGTGATTTTTTAATAAAAATAATACTCCCGTAGGAGCTAGTGAAGGTAAGAAATGGTAGGAGAACTCACTTGGAAAATAAGGTACCACAAAGGCAGCTATGGATCTTAGTGCCGCAGGTCTTAAGGTGGGCTTTGAGATCAGAGTGGACGGCGTATCTCCTGATGCAACCGGGGCACTTGAACTTCTTCTCCCCGTGCTTCCGCCCGAAATGCTTCTTTATCCCGGACAGATCTCCCAGCCCTTTGCCCCGTTCGTGGTGGACGCAGCTCGCCACCGGGCACACGTACACCCGCTTCCTCTTCTTCTTATTCTTCCCGGCTCCCCCGCCGCGGTGCTTCAGCTCCCACGGCAGGTTGTGGCACCGCCGGTGCAGCTGCAAGTTCTGGTCTCTCTGGAACCCTCTCCCGCACACGAGACAGAAGAATCTGTTCGCCGCCGTCAGTGCCCCCGGAGATAATGCTATCACTTCCGCCTCCTCCTCCTCCTCCTCTTCTTCTTCTTTTTCTCCCCCACCCCCGCCTACTATATGTACGTCCATACATACATACATACAACCATTCATATATAAATAAACCCATTTTTGTTCTTTTAACATTGAACATTCATTCTAATTTCAAAATGACTCAGACACCCTGCAGCACTCCTTAGTAAAATTGACCTTTTAACCTTCTTAGCCTTTCTTCCTCGGGATCGAGAGACTAGGATGAGGTGTAAATTGTCAATTTTATTAACGAAGCATCGCAGGTGTCTTTAGATATTTGATGTAAAATGTTCAATGTTAAAGACCCCATGTACAAATAAAACCCTAACAGTAACTAATCTAAACAAATTATGAAAGGAAAGACCTGAAAAAGGAGGTAATTACCGGGCAATGCAGCAAGTTCAGGCTTCGTCGTTTCTTCCATTCCAAAATTGACTTAATTGGCTCACCAATTTATTTATTTTTTTGAAGTTCTAGAAGTTAAAGAGTGAGTGAGAATAAGAGTGGCGGGGGAAGCTGGTTATTTATAATAAAACTAACTAGCTGATTAATCATATTACTCCCTCCGTTTTTAAAAACACTTCTTCTTTCATTTTTTTCACTTCCAACAAAACACTTCCACTTTCTATTAAAAAAGCACTTTTACCCATACTTTTTCATATCATACTTTTTCTCTAATAATCTACCTATCACATCTTACTTTTACCCATCACATCAAGGGCAAAATTGAAAGTCAACTACAATTTAACACTTTCTTATTTTTCCACCTTTTCAAAGTAGGAACTCTTTTTTTAGAACGGAGGGCTAAATGAAATACAAACCGTAGGCACAAAGTGGGATGTATTTTAAAAGTAGTGAACTAACCATGGTTAGTGCGTGGAACAAATTAAACAGTAGTGTGATCTTGAAGATTTGAATAACCACGGCGGCCAAATGGCTTGCTCCCGCCCGCGGCACCATGCATGTGAGGACACTCACCTCGGCGGAGGAAGTCTGGACAGCTAGCGCCGAGTCAGCTCTCTTTTGTTGTTTTGTGCAACCTAGCTTCTTTTAGGGCATTCACAAACCAAGACCAATTAACCAATTACTCCCTCCGTCCCAGAGTATTCGTTCAGTTTTGACTTTCGGAACTGTTCATCTAAGTACTTTGACTCATCAAATTCTCTCAATGTGTAAGCCTAAATATATTCATGTGTGATCTTGTTTGATTTGTCTTAACATATTCTCCCTCTGTTCTCAAAAACTCTTCCTCTTTTAGATTTTTTACTTCCAACAAAACACTTCTTCTTTTCTTTTAAAAAACCACTTTTACCCTTACCTTTTCATACTCTATCTATCACATCATACTTTTTTTCTAATACTCAATCTATCACATCTTACTTTTACCAATCACATCAAGGGCAAAATTGGAAGTCAACTAAAATTTAACACTTCCTTATTTTTACATAAAGTCAAAATAGGAACACTTTTATAGAACAGAAGGAGTAGATTATTAATATATAATTTCTATAATTTTTTAATGTACAAATTACAAGATAAAATGGATTAAATAAGTGTATTGGATGGTGTGTAAAAATGAAAATGGACAAATACTCTGAGACGGAGATAGTAATTAGGATAACTAAAATGTTCTATTCATAAAATTGATAGGTTGTTATTCCCTAACCCCACCCAATCCCGACCCCATAGCATCATACCTGCTTTAATTGCACCTTTCAAATTTAGTGAACTTTGGAGTCAAAATTTTTTACCCCAAAATCAACTAAATTAGCGGGGTGTCACTTATTTAGGTGGAGATTTACCAGGGGTAGAAATTATTAATTTTACGAACCAAGCAACGTATGTTTTCAGTGTCCTCCATGGCCACTCAATGAGAATGGCCAAAGAACCGGCCCGCTCTAACAATATGTAAAATTATATTTTTTAAAAGATACTCCCTCCGTTCTTTAAAATCATTTCCATTTTGACATTGGACAAAAATAAGAAAAATGTAATTTTTATTGACTTTCCAATTTTACCCCTAATGTGATGGATAAAAGAAAGATGTGATAGTTTGGTTATTAGTGAAAAAGTATGATGTGATATGTAAGGTATGGAAAAGTAGGGGTAGAAGTGATTTTTTAATAGAAAGTGGAAGTGTTTTAAGAAATTGAAAAAACGAAAGTGGAAGGGTTTTATGGGACGGAGGGAGTATATTTATTTATAAACTGATTTAGACATAAAATTTACGCTTTCCGCCTGGATTTAATATCGATATTTATACATAGATATATTTTACAAAAAAACTTTAATATTTCGAAACTACGGCTCAAAATGAAACTATTTGTATTACACTTATATCAATGCGCAATATATTTTTTCTACAAATCAGGATCAACGTTTATAAACATTGGCCAAGAATAATCGAATGAGAAGATTAAATCCAAACGGAAGGAGTACTCTATAATATATATATATATATATATATATATATATATATATATATATATATATATATATATATATATATATATATATATATATATAATGTGTATATATATATAAACTACATTTAAAATTTTATAAAACAAGCAAAAAATTAATGGATGCCATAATAGTATCAGTGTAAATCACTTTTTAACAGAAGAGTATTGAATTAATTAAATTCAAGATAAATTAAACAATTAGGAATACATTTTATTATATTAAAAAGTAATTTGAACTCAATAAATTGATTCATTACAACAAAATTAGATGGAGAAATGGGAAAAATGGATACTTAGGGTCCGTTTGGTACACATAATTGATGAAATTGGAATTGAATTGGAATTAAAATTCCATGGGATTCAATTCTATAGAATTGAATTCACTAATTCCAATTCATTTTTTGCACTAGCAATTCCAAATTCACATAATTTTTGTGCTACCAAACATGAGAATTAGAATTGAAGTTCTCAATTCCAATTTCATAGCTTGAATTCGGTGTACCAAACGGGGCCTCATTGTTTAACTTTCTTTTTTGTCTGTCTAGAAATAATATTTTTCATAGTAAGGTATGCAAAAATAGGTTAATTATTAAGATAATTTAAAACTATAAAGCATCATATTTCACATTAAAGATCACGTCGTGCAAAGAAGAATGCAATGAACACTGAGTCGATTGAAGAATAAGAAACAGAGTGTGTGGTGTAGATGAATTGCATGTCGTCCTTGATTTGTGCGAGAGAGAAATGTTAGTTTGAGCAAGAATTTCATCTTTTTGAATGATGAAAGTTGACATTCGAATGAAACTAATTTTTAAGGAGTTCAGTATACACTCTGGTTCCATGGCTACCTATACTCTCTTGGAGTGACCACGGAGAACGTTGTCCCAATTGGGATACCTACGGTACTCTATTTGTAAAATTAATATCTCTGGGTTACTCCTATCAAGTCGTCCATATTGTCTACAAAAGCCTGAGATTGTTCAAGAGTTTATCGTACACACAGTTTCAATCATTTAATAACAAACACGTTTTTAAGGAGTTTTATTAAATTGAATGAAATGTTCATACAAAACCCTGAGCATCAAACTGGAAAGATTAGTGTAAAATCTCTCACAAGTGTATATAAATAGATTGACAGTATAAGAAAGTTTTACTGAAAACTGGATAGGAACTTCATCAAGACAGCAAAGAGCCATGCTCAAAAGCCTTCTTTATTCCTTCCCCAAACTGTGAAAGTCAACCACAGATTAAGCTGAAGCAGTAATCACTCTGTTTAACACTAACAGTGTGTGTGTGTGTGTAGCTCAACAATTAAGATGTTGGCTCCTATGCAGTTTTCAAACCAAACACACCTTTCATTTGGCATTAGGACCAACCAGTATACTTCAAAAATCACACTTTCAGCTATCGTCCATGACTGGGCTGTTGACAAAAATGCCTTCCCTTCTTTTCGGGAAACCAGAAGTGTTGTCAAGGTTTGGGCCCCTATATTTCAGTTCCGGTGAAGCCCTAAAACTTTGATCAACCGAAGACGGTCTAGAATTTTGGAACTGCGATTGAGGCCCAAACCTTCCAGCAGATCCTCTTAAACTGCCGTTCCTTAGTTCCATTATATCAGATCCCAGCGTCGTTCCATCGGAAGTGGAACTAAATGGATCGTCCGGGCCCCACGATGTGAGCGCTTCCTTTTTATTGGCAAAAAAATGCCACGCCCCAAAGAGAAAGAGGATAAAGAGCAAAACAGGACTCGTCCATAGCATGGTGTTAAACTCATTCTTGATAACTGGAAGGCTAGAATGGTACATTGCTATATAACCATTTCCGGTCCCCAGTATGACAAGCTTTTCACGGTCACTAGCTAGAAGTGGGGTTAGCATTTTCTTGTTTTGATGGTCCAAATCGGCGGATTGGTGGTTGAGAAACAAATTCATGACCTCATCAAGGCCTGTAGAGGAAACTAGTTTGGGCCCACCGGTCCGGACATATTGCTGAGACGACACGTTGTATATCCAGACCTTGTCCAAGTTAGATATGAGCAAATAACCTTTAATGGCCTGAAACGCAAGAGGTTCGTTCATGCCCACTTCCAGCTTCTTCTTGGATCTGACCCGGCACTTGAAGTTGATTATATCTCCTAAGAAGAGAACATGGATCATGTCACCTTCGGACGTAAAGCCGTATGCTTTTGACCATTCAATGGCATCCAAAACATATGTTTTAGCCAAGGAGTTGTTTAGGCCTTCACATTCAGACTCCCTGACCCTCATTGTCCTCAAGTCCAACGAACCCGCACCCGTTTCAGTTAGGAACAAAAGCCTTTGTTTCAAGAACGCGAGTGGTCTGCTTTTGGGCACTGCCAACCCATAAACCGACCCGTTCTCCCTAAAGACCCTAAGATTACCGTCCAAATCTACTGACAAGACAAACCTATTCCTCCCCATATGATGCACTTCCAAACTAGTGATTGGTGACCCACCTTCCCCGGTTTCTGGTGACTCAAACCTCCCAACAGTTTCTATGCGAAGCGAAGGCCACTCCTCCCCGTTCTGCACCACCTCCCAAACTCTGTGCTTTAAAATTACACCATTCTTATGAGCTGTAAGTAAAACGCTCTCGTTCTTGTGAAGTGTCAAGAATGATGCAAGAGCAGTGATTGGATCATCTAATGCTGTTTTAAATTCAACCAAAACATCCCCGTTTCTTGAGAACATGTAAATCTGACCCCGAGAATCTCCAACTGCAACATACTTGCTCATGGTGTCAGTATCTTTGAAAGGCAACACATTGATACAGGTAGCATCTGAATCAACTCTCACGGCAGAGAGGAATTTAAACCTCTCAGACCAAAAAGGACTGTACTTTGTAACCGAAACAGCTAGCAGTTTCTCTCCAACTTTCTCCCCAGATTTCTCCTTGAAAGAATCACTGAAATCTCTCGCATTCCCTTCAAAGTTCTCTTCAAAATTAGCTTTGGGTAAGTTTCCAACACTGGGTTTTGCAGTTTCTAAACTTCTAGCATCTGGGTAATCCGAGAATCTTGATTCCAATCTGACCACCAATTTACCTAGATCTTTCACTAACCCCTCGAGCTTATCTAGTTGTTCTTGGTGTCTGTTTAGCACATCTAGAGCATCGGGTATTGGTTCATACTTTTCTTCATTTTCATTATCTTTCTCAATCATAAGGGATGATTCTGAGTCCGATTCCGATTCCAATTCCGAATTGACGAAGGATATACGAAGGAAAGCAGAAAATATGAGCAAATAGGTAAGAAAAAACTTGCCTGTATGAGTGCTGGCGGCCATTGATTGAAGAAGGGAAGGGACTTCTGTACAGAGCCACAGAGACATTGAAAGACCTTATCTTGACTGTTATTTGATGATTATGTACACTGATTGACTCGAGTGGAGTAGAATTTCTTGGGACAATAAATTACTCATGCGATAGATTTGTTCAGGTGAAACTTCCACCGAAAGATGGGGAGAGGAAACGAGGGAGTGAACATTTTTTTCTCGAAACCGTACATTGGGTCATTTGGGACTTGGGAGTAGCTAGTTTTAAGGTAAATACTCATTTTTAAATTTCATAATTGATCTAGAAGGATTTCTCTATTTAATCTTCTATTATCAAATATTATTGTTATGATCTTTTTTACGGGTATCTTTTCATAAATAATTCTATTCTTACATTCTATTATGTTGATGTTAATTTCAAAGATAAAAGTATAATTTGACATCAATCTTATGTGCAGTGACGTAGTCTAATGTCGTTCAAACTGACAAGTTAACAATATTGACTATGACTGTAGACTAGAATTCTGACAAAAGATCACATCTACAAACTATGAGTGTAGTGAATAGAGAAAAATCACATACTATAAAAGACTAGTTATAAAATTTACTCAAAAAATTTAATTTCGTATAGTTTGTAAATTAGTTATGTACTTGTGTCTCTGTCAATTCTTCATTTGCGGAAAATATAATACTCAAAGAGTGTATTCAATTTAAATTTTAAAAGATTCTGATATATTGTTTAGAATATATGGATTCTGTAAATTCAGTGGATTATTTTATATCTATGCATAGTTAGATATATTTTAATGTATTTTATCAGCAAGATTTTATGGGATTATGGAAAATTATTTTTAATCCAAGGATTATTTTCCCCTTTTTTCCTTTTTTTCTTCACTTCTTTCTTTTTCTTTTCTTTTTTTCCTTCTTCCTCCCCAGGAACCCTAGCCGCTATCTTTGTTCTTCCTTGAGATTTGGCTTTTGTTTTCTTCTTCATCGTCCGATATGTGGAAACCAAAGCCAACTCTTCAATTCCCTTGAAAAATTCCTCGTAGAAGAAGAAGGAATTGAGATTGGCAGTGCAGGAGCGTTTCATCATCTATCATTTTAAGAACTCGCATGATCGAGACCTGGGGATCTTCGTCAGCTGGGTTCCAACCAGAGCTGAGCCGACCGGTCCAGCCAGTGGACAAACCGACAAACCACAGATCTCTAACTCCTAGCAAAACCACTGTGTTGTTTGGGAAAAATAATAAATCATGGAGGCGAGTGTTTGAGGGGGAGGAGACGGCGGTGGGCGTGGAATTGCAGATTGTGACCAATGCAAACACGCTGCCGCAACTTTCACTCCCAAGAGCCCTGCATAGAGTTGTAAAATCTTGGGTGCTTTCCCGGTCAGTGAATAAAGTAGTTTCTCAATTCCTATTTTTTAAAACAATTTCTGATTGATGTAAAGTGAGTTTGCTGAACACACATTTAAAAAAATAAAGTGTGTTCGCTGAACACAACATGCATGCAACTATGCCAAAAGCAACACTGCCAAAAGGAAAAGCTTTGCACCCTGGTTTGCGTGTGGATTTAAGTATCCTAAAGTCAAACCTGTGTTCTCCGAACATGGTTTAGCTCAAAATCCAAGTTATACAGAATGAGTTCTTTGAACTCGAATCTTGTATCTCTCCACCTCCTCCCCTCTTTTCGTGTTTCTTTTTTAAAAACAAAGGGTATTTTTTGTTTAATACCTAATATATAGTATTAATTTAAATATATAATTTCACTTGAAAATAATCATTAATTCATTGTTGTTTTTTATGCAAATGGACTACATGCAACGTCAACTTGCCGGTCCGATGAACGATGCTATGCTCACCCTCCAAAACACTCATCGATCAAGTCGTGTTTGGGCTGAACCAGGCTTTGCAGACAAAAAAGTATCAGTATGTCGAAATGATTCTCGTATTTTAAAAAAGTTTAAGGATGATGAGTAGAGAAAATTTTAAGAAGGTGTGGGTTTTATGGGGTACATCAGGTGCACCCCATTAAAATAGACCATAGTTTGATTACAGCCCTTGTTGAAAGGTGGAGGCTCAAAGTGAATGCATTTCACTTCTCGTTTGGTGAACTTGGTATCACTTTACAAGATGTTGAATGTTTAATGGGTTTAAGAATAGACAGAGAACCTGTAGTTTTTGAGGAAATGGTTAATCCAAATACCTATCGTGAACTTTTTCGCGAAGTTATTGGATTCGTTATCATGGACCACCATCTTCGACAAGCTGGATTTAACTTGGCCGCACCAGAGAATAAAATTGACAATGTAGTTGAGCGACAGGTTTTGCCCGGTAACATAGACAGGGAGGCGGAGAGATATACCCCTAGTGTGGTATTACAACTTCTGGGTGGTACTTTGTTCCCAAATGCCTCTAGTCAGTTTGTCCCTATAGAGTTTCTACCTCTACTACGTACTCCCGAGATGACTGCACAATTTAGTTGGGGTTCGGCAGTTCTGGCAAACTTGTATCGCAACTTGTGTAAAGTTGCACTTAAAACATCCGAGAGGCCTAGATTTTGCGGATGTGCTTTGTTGTTACAACTTTGGGCGTGGTCACACCTCATTTTAGTGAGGCTCGAAGTTCGCGTGCTCAACAACGATCGACATGGCCCACTTTGAAATGACGAACCGCGTGGCGCTCAGTACGATAAATATTTGTTTTATTTAAATGTTATTTTGATTATCTCAAATATTAAAATATGTTTTGCCTTTCTCATATAGGTGGCGCATTTGAAGGTTGTTCAATGGCACGTCACGATTTTCACTTCGTAACTACCGAGACCAGTTTGATGGTTCACTTCTTCGACATGTATGTATTTTAAGTAATTAATATTTATATTTTAAATTAAAATAACTAATACTCTCTGTCTTTGCTATAGGTTGTTTGGACTCCCTATAATTTAGAGGCATTACCAGATTATTGTCAAGCTGGTCGTCAGTTGTGGTTTTACGAAGGCCTCATCATATTTGACTTGACAATAGAGCCATACATGCCAAGGAGATTTGCGTGGCAATTTGGCATGATGCAACAGATTCCAAATCTTTCATTCCCTTATGTTGAAGCACTACACCGAGCAGATGGCCGCAATACTTTGCGAGATGCTTTTATTCCGATGTACAAAGAGTGGCGTAATAATCAGTTTAACCATGTAGTGGAAGATGAAATGGAGTCACTTCCGCCACACTATGTAGGAGAGGGTTGTGTAGAGAACTACACAGATTGGTTTTATTATTATGGTCGTCGACACATACGCAATCCAACGCACCACTTAGCGATTGGTGTGGATGGCTCGGCGGGTGCATTAACAATAGTTGTAAGACACATGAAATTTTTATCACTTAAAATACTATTTGTACATTCTAATATATCTTTATTTTATCTTTAATTAGGTAAGCGCATTGCGGCGCGTGAGGGATACTATGTTACACGCACCAGCATTTGAGATAGAACAAGTTGCGGCGGAAGACCTAGTGAATATTGAGCGTCACCACAGGATTGCAGAGTACGTCCCGCCAATTATACCAGACCCCCCAACATACAAGAACATCGGGCACGAGCAGCCTAGAAGCAGTTCCATGCACGTACATGCAGAGAGCTCGCGCCATGCAGAGGAGATGAACACTTTTGTCAGTGTCAGGACGCAACATGACCTTTTTGGGTCACAATTTGGCGACCCAAGTGAAATGCTGGATCAGATGAATTTCGATTCTACTTCGGGGTATCAGTATGTTGAGACTTCATCGCGCTATCACACACAAGGCAAGGACTCCGAGTAGGAAAAGTTTACAAGTTTTTAATATGTAATGTATCATTTTTTTAATATGTAATTTCGCTTTTAATATGTAGTGTATTTTCGTTGTTTCAATTAAGTACTAAGTATGTTTACTTAATCAAAGTGCAATGTGAATTTTAAATTTGAAATATCAAATTTTAAAATTAATAAGAAACAAATTCTCTTTGAAACTTCAAAATATTTTTTTTACCATCTGTGGTAAATTAAAATTAAAGTTTTAACAATGATAATTTGAAAAAAAAATTAATGTTTTACCGAAATTCAAAGATTTAAAAAAAAAGCCAAAAACAATATGCATATTGAAAATTTGTAATGTTTAAACGAAAAAAAGAATAGTGGGTTCAGCGAACACAACATGCGCCAGAAGTCAAATCTACTGACACGCTGTGACATACTGTGTTAAGCGAATACGAATTGCGTCAAATTCAAAATTTAAATTTCAAATGATCTCCGATTTTTCTAAAAATTGAGTGCATGCGACCTATGCTCTTCATTATTATAAATTCTAACCAAAATATTTCTAATTCACTATCAAAAAAATGACCACATCTGAGACCAGTGGAGGATCCAAAATAAAATATGATTGGGGGCAAATACAGACTAAAGAGTATGGCGGGGTTCGAGGGTGGCACTCCCGATTTTTTTAAAGCGTTTAATAACGATAAAAAAATAAATTAATTCAATTTCAAACAAGTATTCAAATAAAAAAATATTTTTAAAGTAGAAAATTAAAATATAAATTATATCATATTTTTAAGTGATTATTTTTTACTTTTAAACTAAGATTTTTCTTTTGTGAGTGGGGGCAAACTAATTTTTTACCGAGGTCATTCTTTTAATTCTCTACAAAAAATTATTTTAATACTGTATATTACAAAATAAAAAAGTTGACTGGGGGCGACTACCCCCGTATTCATACATGTAGATCCTCCCCTGCTTACTAATCAGGCAATTTTCCTCAAAAGAATAACTTCGATGAGAAATGGAAGGGTGGGGCCGTGGGGTATTCTTGTCAACTCAAAGGAAAAAAATACGAAGAAGCCCAATAGGCAGGCTAACCCTAATTAACAAGCTGCGCTATCTTTATATATATATATATATATATATATATATATATATATATATATATATATATATATATATATATATATATATATATATTGTAGACTTGTAGGAGTGTGGGCGGCGTGGCGTGTCTCAATTGTCTAATTTGTCACTTCTTCTTACACAGTCCTTCCTCCCACAAATCGCCATGGCTACTGCTGATGATGCTGCCCGTCAAGATGATTTGGTATACTTAACCAAATCAATCGACAGCCTCACCAGAGCGGTACGAGCTTTGAACAACACTTTAACTTGACTAAATGAGACGCTCATGCGACCTCTTCCTCCTCTGGTAGACGATGAGGCCGGAAGGTTGGAGAAAATCGTAGCCGCGAGAGAAGGCAAGGTGAAAGCGCTGAAAGAGGAGTACATGGCTCCGCGTGGCTTGGCGTATGCAGTGGCGGATCCAGGAAATTTTTTTGCTGGGGGCATTAAGTAAACTAAAGTGAAAAAAATAAAATTTAAAAACAAATTACAATTAAATAGATAGAACAAACTTCTTACCATTAAAATTAAATTAAAAAACAAGGTACAATTAAATAGATAGGACATACCTCTTATAATTGTTCTCTTCGAGTTTTCATCTTTTGAAAGCGATCAATTATATCTTCATTTGTAACATTTAAAAACGCTTCCTTTTCCAAAGCACAAATTACACAAGCATTCAGAAACTCATCCCCCATTCGATTCCGCAAATCTGACTTCACATGTTTCATTGCTGAAAAACATCTCTCAACGCTTGCCGTAGCGATTGGTAAAACCAAGGCGAGCTTCAATAAGCGATAGAGGGGAAGGGAAAGGGTAATTTTAAGGGAGTATATTTAATTTTTGGGAATTTGAACAATTGGGCCAATTTTGAATTGGGTCTTTATCCTATTTATTTGGTTTGGGCCAATTGTATTGGGGGCAGATTTTTTTTAATGGGGACATGATTAAATACACACACACACAGATATATATATATATATATATATATATATATATATATATATATATATATATATATATATATATATATATATATATATATATATATATATATATTCACTGGGGGCAGTTGCCCCCATATCAGCAAGTGTAGATCCGCCTGTGTCTGAGACACATGTTTTGAATATTTTTTGGGGTGGGGATGTATTTCACAATGGAGTAAATATTTCCTACATAATAAATTTAAAAAAAATGATGATTGTCGATGATCGTTTCCCATGGGAACACATCAAAAATCAAATTCAATTACATTTGATTGAAGATGGTTTTGGCATCATCACAAAAGTTGCAGGAAAAATCCCGTACAACGCAGGAGCAGGTAGTTCATGCACTTTGATGGGCATTGAAGATGAAACAATGTGGAGTGTCTTCATTTTGAAAGCAAAAAATTTTGGTTTGTTGGAAATATACATTTCCACAAACCAATCCGGAGAAGGTGGCAATTCTTCCCATCCAATCGGAGGTGGTATCGGTACATCACGTTCATCCGGAGATGTCGTTCGTAGACGTCGTGTATCAATTGCACTACGCGATGATGCTATAGACAACCGTGATAGTGATAGCGATTTAGAAGATAGCAAATCTGATGGGGATGAGATAGAAAGGGGTTGGATTGAACAAACACATAATGATGTCGTGAGTGATTGCAAGTGTTACACACCCGATATTGCAGTGCAAGAGAATATGCTTTTTCCAAGTTTTGAATCTTTGGAAGATGCAATCACAAAAGATTGCATAAAGGATCTTAAAGTATGGACCCTTGAGTACAAACGACAACGCTCTTGGGCTTGTCAATGTTGGTACCATGAGGGGAACCCTCGATGTTATTGGCATGCACAGACATCGAAGGGGAAGACGTCGGACCAGTGACTATTAAAGAGTTATCATCAACGACACACATGTCGTCTTGATTACTCCCATGGAGGTGATGACCGCAACATCACAAGCCAATTCATTGCTCGGATGATTGTCGGGAAATTGCGTGTCGATCTAGAGTATAAAGTGAAGTTAATTCGGCATGAGGTCACTGAAGTATACAAGGTCCCGGTGTCATATAAAAAATGTTGGCTCGCTAGGCTTATCGCCTCAGAGACATTATTTGGAAGGATTCATATAAGCAAGTCCCAATTTTGCTACAAGCTTTGTTTTCTTCTTATCTTGGAACTGTGGTGGATTTAGTATGCACGTCGCCACTGACAAACCTCAATGCCGAACCTGTAATAAGAGTGAATTTTAAGTATGCATTTTGGGCTTTTCCGGTAGCTATCAATGGGTTGCAACACTGTTTACCTGTAGTGACCGTTGATGGAACACATTTGTACGGAAAGTATAAGGGCCATCTACTACTTGCAGTTGCATTGAATGGAAATCGTGAGATATTTCCACTCGCATATGCCGTCGTTAATGGGGAAACTATTGATAGTTGGTCATGGTTTCTCCGATTGGTAGCTCAAAAAATTATAGTTGGAACAAGAGTTTGTGTTATTTCTGACAGGCTTGCCGGTATCATCAACGCCTATCGTGATGTGGAAGAGCTTCAGACAGGGAATATAATAAAGCGTTTCTGTCTACGTCATGTCCGTAGTAACTTTAATTCAAAGTTTCACAATAAGAAAGTCAAGGACCTCATGTGGTTGGCAGGGAGTACTCCGAGTGTCCACGAGTTCCAAAAAAATATGCAGGAAATTCGGGATCAGAGTGAACCAGCATATAAATATCTTGATGAGATTCCGCAGGAGTTGTGGACACTAGCATTCGACGGTGGTAGTCGATGTGGGATAATTACCACGAATAGTTTAGAGAGCTTCAATAATATGCTAAAAGGTTGTCGGATGCTACCGGTGAGTGCTATTATCATGATGTCGTACAATAAACTCGTTGACTCGTTTGAGTCACGACGCAAGTCATGTTTTGATTGGCAACGAAAAAATCTATGATTTACTGCGAAGATTTCAAAGATCTCTGAAACGAGGGAAAAAGATAAACAGATGTTTCAAGCGGTGCATTATGGCGGAAATCAATACATTGTCTCCAGGGCTTCCTTCTCTAACCCAGGGCATATGTATAGCTTCGTGATCGACTTAGGGAGTAAGTTGTGTACTTGTGGACAATGGCAAGGAGACGGGATTCCGTGCATGCATATACATTCTTTGTTCCATTCTTTCAGACAACGTGCGGATGATTGTGTCTCTCACGTGTATAGCTTGCAACGGTATCAAATGTGCTACGCTGGTCATATTACACCTGTGATATTCCCAAATAATTTTAATTATGCAGAATATCCGATATTGCCGCCAATAAGACTAGAAGGAGAAATATCGCGTTCTGTGCGTCGCAAGCAAAAACTCTACCAGGGAGAAATGGGATGAGATTTACGAAGGAAGGATCAAAGTGCTACCAACTACACATGCTACATGTAATCGTTTTTTTTCATCGTAATATTTAGTGTTTGTTGTTTTTAAATATTCAGTGTATGTTGTTTTTAAATATTCAGTTTATGTTGTTTTTTAAATATTCAGTGTATGTTTTTTTAATATTCAATGTATGTTGATTTTAAATATTCTGTGTATCTTTTTTAAATATAAAGTGTATGTTGTTTTTTGAAATTTTTAGTACATGTTATTTTCAATATTCTGTGTATAATAAACTTAAAATTTTTCTCATATTTTAAATAAATAGACAACCCATCAAATAAGTATTCATTTTTATTGAATCATTTAAAAAATTGGTTAATGGAGGGGATGAAACGGATATTGAACAAATGTGAGTTCAACAAACACAATTATTCATTTGGGAAAAGTGATGGTATGGAGCGTATAGCTAAATTAATAATTGAATTAAGATGTGTTCTGTGAACACATACTCATTTAGAACAAATGTGTGTTCAACAAACACAGTTATTTATTTAGAAAAAGTGATGAGTTGCAGCGTATAGTGATGGATTGTGAGTAAACTTCATAATTGAACTAATATGTGTTCAGCGAACACATATTAAATGGATAGGAATCTTAAACTAAAAATCTTCACTGATTGGTAATTGCTCATAAAATCTTTACATTTTTTGTCAGATTTTGGACTTAGATTTCAATTTATACCCAAAGTCTAAAACCCATATTTTATATATAAAAAAACTTTTAAAATCTATTGATTTTTGAATACCATTTGATTTAGAAAGATATTTTAAAATCTGAAGTAAATACATCCAGATTTTAAATTACTTTTTTAAATATGAATTGAATACCCATAAATTTTTGAAATTAAAAAAATACTACAAAATATTAGCTTTACAATTTGAAAAGAACATAAAAAACATAAATTATGTTTGTTAAACTTTAAAATGAATAATATCTAAAAATATAATTTTTTGGTATGACCGATATATGATATCCTTTAACAAATTTTTTTATTGATATAATATGTTATTTAAATGAATTGTTTATATTTTTTTTCTTCGACATTAAGGATAGAATGATGTCGGTGGTAATACACAGAGAATGTTTTTTCATAGATAATGACTATTTTCCGTGATCGTTTATATGTCTTTCCTGGAGATAAATGTTTTTTCACACAATTTCTCTCTCGTTTTTTGGTTTAACAAAAAATGACTAATATATTCAAATAAAATTGTTAAAATATACTTCATTCATTTTGTATTGATATAATAAATTATTTGTCTTTTTCTTTCGACATTAAAGATATAATTAGAAAGTCAAATTACAAAAATAACTCTAGTAGAAATTAAAATAGAAACTGATTTATCAAACAGAAACAGTTTCTGTCCCCTAATAAAATTTCCAATTATTTGTATATCACGAAAACTCTGTTACTTATATGTTTTAAATGATTATTTGTTAGGAAAAATAACTAAAATAGGAACAAAACATTAAAAATAAACTAAAATAAAACTTGAATGTTTTTATTTTCTAAAATAATACGTTCTACTCCATATTACGGAGTATTTAACTACTTTGTATATAAATAAATTGTACTCGTATTTTTTTATTTTTAAATCATTTTTAAGAGTAGTAAATTAATGTTTTTCTAATTTTTTGGTAAAATTTAGCTCTTTTGGAGATGGCGGAGACGCCGTTGCGCAGCTAAGAAGAAGCATGCTCGTCCTCACCGGCCACTGCCTTCCCTCCATTTGTGCAACAGTCAGTCTTCTAGCCGAATCTGGTCTTCTCTGCGGAAATGCAGAGTGACCCAACGAGCTCAGTCCCACCGGATCAAGACGCCGACGCCGATGACCGCGAATCCATCCATCTCCTGCAGCCCGATGATGGTGATGGGAAAATCACGAGCATTGAAATCGAGGCGGTCGATTCGACCGAAAAGCTCTCGCCGCCGTTCTCCTGGAGGAAGCTATAGGAGTTCGCCGGCCCAGGGTTACTGATGAGCGTGGCGTTTCTGGATCCGGGGAATCTGGAGGGCGACGTCCAAGCCGGCGCGATTGCGGGCTACTCTCTCCTCTGGCTCCTCATGTGGTCCACAGTCACGGGCCTGCAGATCCAGCTCTTGTCCCTCCGCCTAGGCGTTGCCACCGGCCGCCACTTGGCTGAACTCTGCCGGGAAGAGTACCCCCAATGGGCCTCCGTTGCGCTCTGGTTCATGGCGGAGGTGGCCTTAATTGGGGCGGATATACAAGAAGTGATCGGTAGCTCTATTGCCATCAATATTCTCACTAATGGCTCTGTTCCTCTATGGGGTGGAGTCCTAATCACTGCTTTTGATTGGTAAAATCTCTCAATCTCTTTCACAGCTCTTTTATGCCTCAAATTTGTTAAATTCACTTTCTTAATGCTAATGTCGATTTTGTTCGAGTAGGAGTAGATTTAGCAAATTGAGTGAGAGATGTGGATTTTGTCTCACCCTATAGCGCAAAAAAAAACCCCAAAATGTTTCTTGAAATGTTGTGCTTGATGTGACCACTTCATTCCTCTTATGGATATGTCAAGAATCATGATACAAGAAAATGGTTGAGAAAACATTCCATTAAGTTGATGTTTCCTTCTTTTTTTTGGACAGTTTTATATTCTTGTTTCTTGAAAACTATGGAGTTAGGAAGCTCGAAGCTTTTTTTGCAGTTTTGATCGCAACGATGGCATTATCCTTTGCGTGGATGTTCCTAGACACAAAGCCAAGTGGGGAGGAACTGATGTTAGGTCTCTTTATCCCAAGGCTTAGCCCAAACACAATTCAGAAGGCGGTTGGGGTTGTTGGGTGTGTGATAACACCTCACAACGTGTTCCTATATTCTGCGTTGGTGCAGTCAAGGAGAATCGACCCAAAGAAGATTGGGAAGGTGCAAGAGGCCATCAACTATTACACCATTGAATCATCCACAGCTGTTCTTGTGTCATTCACACTCAACTTGGCTGTGACCACCATTTTTGCCAAGGGATTCTATGGAACTTCTCAAGCAGAGAGTATAGGGCTCCTGAATGCAGGGCAGTACCTTCAAGAGAGATATGGTGGTGGGTCGTTCCCGATTTTGTACATATGGGGAGTCGGTCTTCTGGCGGCTGGCCAGAGTAGCACCATGACTGGTACATATGCTGGACAGTTTATAATGGAAGGCTTTCTCAACCTAAGGATGAAGAAATGGGTTAGATCAATGATTACTAGAAGTTGTGCCATTGTCCCAACAATTGTTGTTGCTGTTGTTTTCAATAGGTCTCAAGATTCATTGGATTCTCTAAATGAATGGCTTAATGTGGTTCAAGGCATGCAAATCCCATTCGCGATCATACCTCTTTTGACGTTGGTTTCAGATGAGCGTACCATGGGAGTATTCAAAATCGGAATGACCATAAAGGTAAAACAATATTCTACACATATGACTAAAACACAACTTATGTGATTACAAATGCAATTGTTAAAACTCTCAAGACTCTGGGCTTGTTCTCTTTGTCTGATCGAATTGATTCTGATCTGATTGGAATAAGTTCTGATCTGATTTGATCTGATTGTAGTTATATTTAAAGTTGTTTCTGATATGGTCGGGGCTGATTTGATCTGATTCAAATAAGAATAAGTTGAAGAGAACAAGCTCTTAAAAGTAGGAAATGGTCTTGACTTCCGCCCACGGCTTTTAATAGCATTGGGTAAAGCATATTTTCTTGATGTTGTCCTTTACTTTTTATACCATTCTTGAGTGTTTGATGTGCTATGCAGAGGATTGTTTGGAGCATTGCAGCCATGGTAATCGCGATTAATGGATATGTTATGCTCAACTTCTTCTTTTCTCATGTTCATGGCCTTTTTCTTGGTTCTGCGGCGTGTATGGTAGCTCTGGGATATGCGGCCTTCATCTCATATCTCGTATCGCACCATGCTGCCCGTCCCAACAAGCTGACTTCAAGTGGATTCTCACACTTACAAGGCTAGAAGTTGAGCCAACAATCTCCCAACTTAGTTTGGGAAGAATTGACCCTAGCAGAGATGTTAAATGACTGAGGAACATTGTTAAAATGGAAGGCCATTTTTTTTTCAAGAGAGGAAGAGAATCTCACATTGATAGAATGATGATACTTCATACTATTACTTGTGGATAATAGAAGTATACTTTGTCACTCCAAAAACTTTATATTGGACCCCATATGTGGAACATAAACAAAATTTGAGGGCAAACGTGGTGTCTTGCAAACGAGCATATATATGTACTGAGCTGTTTCAATGTGTTTTTGCTATTAAAAAAAGTTCTGAAACAGCATTTTCAAGATACTAAACAATCATATTTGGTAACAATTTTAACATTTCACTTTAATATTTTTAAGATACTAATCAATGGTAATGTTAATTTTAGCATTTTCAAAATTAATTTTTACCATTAAAATATTAAAACAGGAAACATTCTTCCCAAAGAAGGCCGACGTGTTTAAAAGCCTTCCGCATTGGCAGAGGGGTATGGCATTGGAAGGTAAAACGGGAAGCATATGTGGAGCTGACCGGGCACTGTGCTTTAGCATATACTCTATTTAACTTCTTTCTACGTTTCATTGTGATTTGTGATAAACAATACTACATATAACAACAATAATCCAGTTGGATCCCATGAAAGCAAGGTCTAGAAAAAGTGGGCGCACGCAGATCTTGTCCCTACTCGAAAGTAGAGAGACTATTTCCAGAGATCTCGGCTCAAGCTGCTTAAAAGGCCTTTACTTTTAAACTTTAACATGTGGATCCATCCAAGATTACGAATTAGCACATGTAGGCCTTGTTCTCCTCAACTTATTCTTATTATTTATTTTTATTGGAATAATCAACTCATATTAGACCATATCAGAAACAACTTTAAATATAACTATATTTAAATCAGACAAACTCAAAACTTATTCCAATTAGATGAAAACCAATCAGATAAGGTGAAGACAACATGGCCTTACACTAGATAGATTCAAAACCGCTATAATGCACAAGCAGTACAATAAAGCAAGTCAAGAGTTAAACTAAATCAATGATCAGCAACTACTTCAAAAAGATCACTTCCATATAGCGAACGAATGAAGTAGAACAGAACAGAGAGTTGTTCACCATTGTCTGATAAATAGTGACCATAGGGAACAGAGTAGTGACATGTCACAGAAATAAATACTACCAAGTACTGTATTGTGTAAACCATAGGGATCTTATTAATCACCTGTGCTAGGAAACAATTATTGGGTGTATCAGATTATATCACATTCAGAGCACAAGATGGTTCTCGTAAAGCTACTCCAAAAACCAATGTTCTAAAAACTGCTAGGTGCTGTCCAAACTTGATGCGAAGAGGCCCACGAGACACCTGGTCTAGACATTTTTTTTTTGAATCAAAGCTAAAAACTTGATGCTAAATCGGACATGATTTGTCTGAACAAACAATATCACGAAACTCCTTAAAAAGTGCCATAAGAAGCCGCGGCCGAAGGGCAGCCACTAAGGTAAATGCATATAGATTGGTATCAGATTAAACTGGAAAAAAAGAAGCAGAAAAAGAACTGTGTCACATTTCGAAGTCCCATGTGCTCTCAGCACTCAGCTTTGGCATTTTATGATCGTCTGCCAGATTAAGAGATGCCAAAACCTGAAGGCAAAAGAGTATATATGAGTGAGTGAGGAGTCATCTTCCACAACTTTAAATGCTTCGTGAGCCATCAAACAAGTACTATACTACTATGTGCTCTAGAATACAATTAGCATGTCTTAAAGTGTCGTATGGCAGATCATAATAAAATGTAATGTAATCCAATATGAGTACGTTTTTTTCTATAAATTTACATTACACATACATTTCATCATACCTAACTTCTTTGCTCAACACAATAACTAACGCTCCATAAGAAATAGCATTTCAGTAGAAAATTTGTATGTTTGGTCGAAACATTATGGATATGATTTGATTGATAGACTTTGAAAATGAATTCTCTATCTTCCTATGTTTTCAGGCAGAACAGTTCTTTGAATTTCTTTGGAAAGTGACTCTCTGTTTCTCTGTTGAAAAGGGCAAGGCTCTGTCTAGTATACCTTTTCCAACAATATTTTTGTCCCAACAGCTATAGTAACCCTCTAACAGCTACAAATTGGAGCTATTGGGTGGTTACTATAGGGTTTGGTGAATCCTTTACCTTCCCAAATATCCCTTACCTCTAAAAGGTACCTACCTTTTCAAAGCAACCTACCTTTTATTCTAAAAAAAATACCATTAGAAGTAATTTTGCATACTAAGTGCAACAGCTTAAACAACCTCCCCAGACCCGACTTTTGTGGGATTCAACTGAGTTGCTTTTTTTAAGTGCAACAGCTTGAACAAACACCCAAAATCCAAATTTTCTTTTGAAAAAACTACAAACAGCTCAAACAAATGACTCTGAAGTCTTTTTTGTTAATTGGTTTTATAATGCTTTTGTAGGTTAAATTGTATTTTATGAATAGAATAACTTCTTTCCTAGGAAACATTGTCCACATCAACTTATATTCATGCAATGAGATGGAGTCAACTAGTCAAGCATTCAATTTGGTCCTAAACTGATCATTCAATAATTTCAATATTCCCATTATGCATCAATCTTAGCTTTAAAAAGCGAGAGGCGCACATAGATGACACTGAGGCGCGAGGCGCGTCTCATGTAATTGAGGCGTACCTCTTGGATAACAAATCTGTCTTGATGTATTTACCAAAAAAGTATGGGGTAGGTTAGAATTAGCATTGGTATCTAATTAAAGAGTCATACATTATTTATAATAATTAAGTATTTGGACCAGACAGAAACTTAGATATGAACTTCTACTAGTCCAGTAGAAAATTTCTAATCATACTGCCAAGTACTACTTGCATTTATACGCTTGACTGCCAGAGTGAACTCTCTCGTACTGAAATTCATTGCCTAATACTCACTCCCAAATTGATGTTACTTAGTCAAAATCTAGAATATGTACGGTGGAAAAAAAGTACATGATGCCTAGTATATAAGAAGAAGTAAATAAAGTCTGCAGTGGGAAGTGGAAAGTCTGTTACGCAGAAACTACTTAAGCTTAGTATAAAAGAACTAAATAAAAGGATTAACAAGTGTTGTAAAATGTAAACTACTTAAAGAGATTTGAAAGAAAAGGATTGCGATTAGGAGAATTAACCAACACTATTACCTGCAAGCCTGAGAAAAATTTAACTAATGCATTAAAAAAATGGCAAATTGAAAACACATCTAGCAGAGACTAAAGCAGGACAGTGGGTAAATTAAATTACCTTAAAAGAGCCATTCGACTTGGAATTCCTTGACCATTCAAGGGTCACATTCTTGCTGGACGTCTGGTACATAGCCTTCAGCACATCATCGCCATAAACTCTCTTCGAAATTGAAAAATCCCATGCATTCTTGGTGAAATCGTAGCTCGGTTCAATCGTTGTTAGTCCATTGTGCAGAAAAGTATACTTGAGCTTGCAATTCCGGGAGCCAATTGTGTGGTTTGCTGAAACCTTGTTCGCCGAATCCAAAACTAAAGTCCCGTCCAGAACTGTCCGGCTATCTCCCTTGAAGTGTACGTAGTTCAATTTCAACTGCTTCTCCAAAACCCTAACCGTGTTCATGAATTGAAACCTAAGGTCCTGAAAAAATTAACCAATAAAGATTCCCGAATTCAATGTGAAGGTTAGCTAGGAGGAGGATATGGTGGTGGATAATTGGAGAATACCTTTTTGGGGACGTTGTAATCGATGATGAAAGAGCCAGGTTTTTCGACTGCAAGAGCTAAACCGTTTAGGGAGGGGCCATTGACGAGGGTGGCATCGGTCATAGAAGCTCGGAGATTTAGGTCGCCGGCTCTGACGGAGACGGTGGAGGTGGCCGTCATTTGGTCCAGTTCATACCGGGCTTTCAGCGTGCCCTTCATTTTTCTCCCTTAGACGCAAAAACAGGGAACCAGACCATCGATACTCCAACCTCTGCGCATTTATAGTCAATGCGTTTTGGATAGTATTAGAGCATCTTGTAAAGAACAATGTCAGGTGATCGTGTATCCCAAATGTATACCACCACCTTCTTCACTACACATTTTTATTTGATTTTTATTTACTTATTTTTTTAAAATTTTTTTTGCCTTTTTTAGTGTACTTACTTCAATCATATCTCTTAAATAATAATTTTTTAAATATTTTATTATTTTTAAAATATTTATTTATAATAATATTTATATTTTTAAAATTTTATTGTATATGTATTTCAAACTATATATACATTGAGTATTTTTTAGGAAACATTACATATAAATGTACTCTAATAAATATATAGAAAAAAAAATTTTCAAAATGTGAATAGCATATAGTGTACTAATACAAAGTGAGACTTGGTTTTTACAATATAGTTTATTTTTGCACTACCCCATTGCATTGGAGTGGTAATTTTGCTATAGTGTCTTCTATATAATGGATTTTTTACAATATACAATGCTCATTGGAGTTGCTCTTAGGGACTAGTATTTCCATTTTATAGATATTTTTTTAGTAGTCTAGATTGATTTCAAAAACACTAAAGTTCAATATTATTGTTTAATAATTTTTAAATAGATTGACATAGCAAAAAAGTAAAATGAAGTAAAAAATTGAGATGTTGAGGAAGCGCTCGATCTTAATGAGCCGATTCATTACCAGAATAGAGCATGAAATAGTAATTCAGTGGTACAAAAAGTTGACGAAGATAATAATCTTACTCTATCAATGAAGATAATGTGTCTTTATTATCGGAATCAGACAAAGAACTTAAGATCAAGAGTGCAATGATTAGATATTCATATGTTAAATTTCGAGATTTAAACTTTTGAATTTTTCTTAAGTTAACCTATTTATTAGCACCTTGGAGTGTTTTGGATTTGAGATAACTTCTTAGTTGTATTTTTATTTTCACTTGACTATTTAGACCAAATGATCTATTACTTTCTGAATTTATGCCTTAGACATGGTGAATTTTAGTTAATTAGAATGCGTGACTCAGTCTTGTGGCAAAGCCATTTTTGCGCCTTTTGTATCACCACCGCCATTGGATATTGGTCAATTGCCATGATTGTCATCATACGCCATGACGACTATTCCTGGTTGGCCTGAAGTTGGGAAGCAGGAAGAATGAGATGGAGGACCTAATATAATCCACAATGATTTACCATATCTTCTTTGATTGAAAAGGAAGATGAAGGGGCAAAGCGGTCCAGGATTCAAAATGGGAAGAAGGCACCTTTCTCATTTCTAATGAGCAATGAAATACGGAAGGAAAATCAAGTGTGTTGATGAAATTGGACCGCTCGAATAACGATGTGTGGTTATTATTCATTGACAATGATGTTTCTAGGCGAGAATGATATTCACAATGTTATTTTGCTTATGCCTTGATATATAGGGCCAGTTTGAAATAACATTAGAGATTAGTGTTAGCGTTTTGAAAAGATTATCTACAGAAAACGTTTAGCATTAACATTTAATTTTCAAAATAATCTGCACCGTTAAAATTTTATCCAAAACGATGACATTAATCTCTAACGTCATTTCCACACAGGCCCATAGATACTACTTCAGTGGCTCTGTCCATATATTAATTTTCATTCACTATTCAAAAGATTAAACTTTATTCACTTAGCTTTTGTAATACCCCGTGTTAACATGGAATGGAAAGAATTCAAAAAGATTGATACTACTACTCATACAAACAAGATATATTTTCTTTTTGAAAACTCATCACCTAGAAATTTCAAAATTAAGTGTGCTATACTTAGAGCAATTATATTCTATGAAGGGTGACCCAGTTGGAAGTTCCATGGGCGCACATGAGTGAAGAAAAACTTGCGCGAGGAAGAGTTGTGTTGGTTTGTGGGGCTTCTCAACAATCTTATGAGCAGACACTTCTGCCCAGAGTGGAGCCGGGGTGTTACAAATGTTATCAAAGTAACCATGCAAATGTGACGAGCCAACAAGCTTATGTGAGCCCGTCCAGAGTATGAGGTTAATACTAGTACAATGATATAATGTCATAATGCAAACTCCTAAAAATATACTCCTTCTGTCCAAAAATTTTCTTCCCACTTTCCATCTTGGCCTGTCCGGAAATATTATTCCTATTTCCTTTTTTAGTATACTTTTTAAGGATAAATTTCAATAATACCCTTCTATTTTATCACTAATCTACTTTTTTTTATTGCTTTTTTAATAAGAAAAGGAGATTTAAAAGTTATAGTATGTGCATTTTTGGAAATTTGGCATTTTTTTACTATTCTTTAATAAGCGTGCCAAATCAACACGAAAAGAATATTCCTTGACGGAGGTCCAAACCAAATGACCCTACTTAGCTTTCTTTTTCGAGGGATGCTAGGGATACACCAAAAATGTACCCCAAATGTACACCACCTTCTTTATTACCACTCATTTTTATTTATTTATTTCTTTTTTATTTTACATGGGGTACACCTATCCTACCCATTTTGTTCTTCTCTTGTTTCGCAGAATCTGTTCAATGAGCCTCCATTCACTTTTCTCAATCAGATTCCGTTCCAGATCCAATTAGTGCCGTCTGCCTTGGACTTGCTCCTGTGAGTGTTCTCCCCTCCATTCTCCATCGCAAAACATTTACAGTAATATCTACTCTTTTTTTTTTATCTGGAAAGTTAATTTGTGGAGGTCAATTTTTGTCCTCCATTGTAGACTAGTTAACAGTGCAGTAGCCAGTAGGAGAGGCATGGACTTCCTAATGTCTCCCTTCAGCTTTATTTTTTATTTCTCCATACGTGTTTACCGATTAAGGGCAAAAATATCACCACAAATAATTGAATTCATTTAAAAAACATTTAAAATCTCTAAACATATCCTCCAAACATAAGAATTGTACTCAGAAGTCTATTGAATTCAATTCCAGAGAATGAACAGTTTTCGCTGGATTTGTTGTTGCTGTAGGGCTTATATGTTGACATCGATCTGATGAACTCTACCCGGAGCTATCGGATTCGCCGATTGGTTCCATTTCTGTGAAGGCGACTTTTTTCTTATGAGTTGTCAAGTCTTTCGCATTGTATTTTATCTCTTGTCAGTTTGCTGAGTTTTACAGGATTGATCTGAAAATTGGAAAAAATGATATGCTTTTGGACTTTTGGAATCTGAAACAAAATTGTTTGAAGGAGACATAAATGAAATCAATTCATAGTCATAACTATTTGGCAAGTAGTTAAGAAATTGATATAGTATATCGGTTAAAGACTAGTGATTGCGGAAAACAACGATAGTCTATGCCTTCTTTTTAGTACGAAGTATTGAACAACTTGAAGTTCAATAGTTTATACCAGGAGAAAATTTTGCGGGCTTGAACCTGTAGGAAACAAATTGTGCAGCATGCCACTGCTGCTGCGTTGAAGACAGAGCTGCCACCGCTCCAGATTTGAGAAGTGGTGGCCACAGTTCATGGAGATAGAGTCTTTCAGACGAAGATATTAACATAAGATTTTCTCAGGATGAAGTATGGCGCTGTTAGAATCGCAATCGGTGAATTGACGGAGATATCAAAAGCTCCATATGTGGAGAGTTTCCATATCTCATTGTCTTCATGTTTCAAAGTTGAAACCTTTTTTTGTTCATTAAACACTAATTTTAGAAAAAAACTAATTTTAGAAACTTGATATCAGAGGGAGCATTATGAGTCACAAAAAAAACTTGTGACATACTCCTTTTGTCTCTCCTCTGCGCTGCTCTGCTTTCTCCCGTTGTAGCTTGTAACGGCTCTTCCTCGGAATAGTCGCCGGCGCGTCGACCCTCAGCGTTCGTCCTTCCTGCCGGCGGTGTAGACAGTCGTCGGACGGCGGCGGGCGGCGGGCGGCGGCGGACGACGGCTAGGAGCACAGGTGAGTACACATCCACCCACACCCCACCCCTTCTCCAGACCTAACACTCCCAGATCCGACCCAGATCCGACCCTAGACGCCAACCTCTGCCGGTCACCGCCGACCCCCTTATCCCAGACC